TTGAAGGGCCGTGAGGCGACAATAAATTCCCAGGCTATGATACGCCGCTCCCTTGTCCGTCGCAAATTTTTACGTGAGAAGAAGATGGCGACACGTATTGAGGCGTTTGGCCGAATGGTGATTTGTCGTCAGAAATTTCGCCATGAGCGCTCAATTATCGTACTGGTGCAATCTCGTTGGCGTATGCACCGTTTTTGTAAAAAATTTAAAAAATTGAAGCGGCAGGTAATATTGCTGCAATCACTATGGCGTTGTCACGCACAAGCAATGAAGTATTATGACATTATAAAAAAGAGTATCATTATAGAAGCTTTCGCGCGCATGACAATTACACGTATTCGCTTTTTGAGAATGCGTGTGGCAGTGCTTGTGATGCAGGACGCTTTCCGGACGTACTTGGGTCGGCGACAATATCTTCGTTGCCGCCGCGGCGTGGTAAGAATTCAAGCTCTTTACCGTAGCTACGTGCAGCGTAAGAAATATCACCAAATGATTGACCGAATCGTCATGGTTCAAAGTATCTATCGTCAGAAAAAATCCCGTATTTTGACCGATATGCGACGGCGGTCGTTGGCGCGAGTGCTTGGTGTAGTCCGAGTCTTCCTGTCTCGTGTGCGTATGCGAAATCGCACGCAAGCTATGTTTAGCGCCGCCAATATGTACGACTTGACCAAGGTGCTGCACATCGCACAAGAGATGCCAGGGATGTTAAGAGTGCGCGATCGTGAGCACGAAATGATGTCGCTGATACATGTAGCGGCAAAAAATGGTGACCTGAATTTGGCGCGGTTTGTTTTGGAAGAAAATTCTCAACTTGAAGACCTCGTGTATGGAAAGGATACAGCGGGCAGTACACCTCTGCACTATGCAAGCCGGTTAGCACATTTAGATATGGTACGCTTACTCGCGAAGATTGCCAACCGCAACTCTACCCCTGGTGTACATTTTGACTACAGGGCTGCTCGTACACGTAGCGCAAGTGGTACGAGCAGTGCCAGTGACGACCCACCCGAAATGAAGGTTCGGTCAATTTCGAATGCTAGCACGGCATCATTGACGACGCCTTCGTCCCATTCTCCATCTAAAGCTGTGTCTGGCGTAAACCCCAGTCCTCAGGGAGGCTTTAACCTACCCAAGCGTGGTATGTCGTCTGTTTCAAAGTCATCCTTTTCAATGCAACCAGCTTTTCAGCCTGGTGATCACACTGCACCTAAGCGCAATGGCCGGCGCACTCTTGTGTCATCAAAAACAGGAAACAGCCGGCGCTTATCATCGTCGATTGGTGGACTGCCACCTGTTCTTCCCACGACACTTCAAATTGAAGTGTACAAGGAGGGATTTCTTCGAAAGGCTAGCGGTACACGTTGGGCCACAAAACGCTACGTGATGGTGGACGAAGTTTGTTTATCGTATTACAAGACCGAGAAGGATAAAATTCCACTGAAGATTGTAGAGCTTTGTGATGCCACCATCAAGCGCAACTCTAATGTAGACTACTGTTTTGAGATTCGGTCACCGCGTCTGAAGAGTTCTAAGAATCTTGATGGAATGCTCTCCTTTGTGGCCGATTCGGAGCTTGATGCGCAGGATTGGATGCTCGCTATTCGTAAGGTCGATGGTGTCCGTGTCACCACAACGCATCCCCCCAACCACAATATGATTTGCATCGACAGTGGACTGCGTCGCGACTATGTCAATATGAAGAACAAGTTAGGTTTTACCCCATTACACTTGGCAGTGCAAAATGATGAAGATGAAGGATTTGAGGCTGCAAAGGTCTGCGTCTGGCTTATTGAGAATGGTGCTGACCCGAATGCAATCGATGTCAATGGAGACACAGCACTACACTATGCGGTGGAGCTGGAGCGTTTTGATCTTGTTGAGACTCTTATGAAACGTGGCGCTAACTCGAGCTTAAAAAATCTTAAGGGATTTTCTCCTGTTGATATTGCCCAAGAAGCAGACTTGAAAGATATTCTTAATTCGGCGAATCATACCTTCGAAGCCGAAGAAAATATCGTTGAGCCTGAGGAGAATCAAACTGATGAGCATTTTCCTGTCAAGAATATGAGTTTGATCACTCCTTCACTCTTGCCCCCACCAGACAGGTTACACGACAGCACTTACGTGTCTGTGTTTTTGGGTGCCATTGCTGTGGCCACTGGTCCAGTCATGGAGACACCGCACTTTAATCTTTACATCCTAGACTGTAAGGGTGTGGTCGTTAATCCAGCACAGCGCACTCCAAAGTCGCTTATTCAGACGGGAGGCAACCACTGGTGGTTTGGAAACACTTGGTACTTACAAACGCCGCTGGAACATCTCAAAGACGGTACGGCTTATATTTCTCTTTTTCAACTAAATGGTCAAACTTATCGCAAATTTGCTGCTGTGGGTCAGGTTGTGTCGCAGTCATGGAGCTGCGGCATCGAAGTCTGGTTACGCAGGAGGTCGAAGTCGGGTGCTGGACATTTTTCCATCTGGATCTGAGTAAAATTACGACGGCGCCTGCAACCTTTGAGATGTACGCGCCACCTGTAGATCCACTCAGCAAGATTCTCGCTCGCATACCTGGTGACTCCTTCCTACAGGCCGAGATCAATGTATCTTTATAAGCTTTATGATCAAAGTAGATGAGTGATACTTTTGTAGATGGCGGTTATGTTATGATACACTGACGTCTAGTCTAGTCAGGTCTGAACCCATTAAAACATGTGCATTGCGTCCATCAAGCGAGACCGACATGGTGTCTGCGACGTAAAATTATTTTATCTACTCGTCTACAAGACTCGGCGTTTTTTAGCGGAGTTCATGTACGGCCGCAAGACCCATTCGTTTTCTGCTTCCTTCTGTTCAAGCGTGCCGAGCTTCACCTGATACAGCTGCAGCTCGAAGCGGGGCCCACACTCTTGCAACTCTACATCACGTCCTGTCACCTTAAATACATGATGACGGAACGACACGAAGTCATTGTCATTTGAAAATGTAATTACGCGTTTGGCATCTGGCTTTGGGACCGGAAACAGGTGCTTCAGTATATTTGCAACGCGCTGGCCCAGTGGCGTCGCAAATTGATTGATAATCAGATGTGGATATGCCTCCGAAACAGTTGCGCGGTCCTCAATGTCGTGGCGTAACACCGTGTTGCTCAAAGAAAAATAGGCTGACGGTCCATATGGCAAATGACACACAACCAGACCATCTAGTTGCAGCACACATTTGTTAAGCCTTGAAAAAATTTAAACTGCTCATTTTCAGTCGCACCTGGTTCACCACGAGTCTCTGTGACCAACAGCAGATCTGTAAAATCGTTCGCTCTTGCGCTCTCAACCAACTGATTGGCGAAATAGAAATGATCAATAAATGTACTCTCTAGAAAAAGCGCACGGTATCTACCTACGTCGCCAACAGTGTGGGCACCGCGATTGAGACGAATGGCATTAGGAAAAATGAGACGGATTTCCTGCGCGAACTGCTTTAGCCTCGAACTCGGATCGCGTGACGTGGTTATAGCAACCTTGGGATCAAACATGCCTGCATTCTTGTACTCGTCATCTATGTGATTTATAGGTTTTTCATGGGCTTCATCGTCGTATTCCATTTCCTTACGCAACTTGTACTCGACATTACGTAGCTCTGTCGGGATGGCCTTACCGCTTCTAATCGCCTCTTTTAGTTGCTGCTTGTGCTCATAAAGAGTGCGTTCCTTACCCTCTAGACCCTTACGGTACAGGTACTCTCGGCGCAGACGTACATTTCTCCGGACAGACATCGTAGCGAATATTTTCACTGTGTCCAATCGATTTTCGATGCTAATTCTGACATTCAAATACTAATAGATACATTTTTGGCCATTGTGTTTCATTATAAAAGTTAATACACAAACTACTTGATTTTATGCTAATATTTGAATTAATTTGTCGAAAAGATGATATTATAAATCGCTAAGCATTTTTTTGATAGTTCGATAGGCGCACAACAGGATATCAAACGCATTATCAAAGGAGCCTGAAATTTTGGCCTATTCGATGCCACCAAGACATATTCGTATTATCCGCCGCGGTGGTGGCGATCACTTCGTGGAAGGCGCCGCAGCTAACGTTTGCTGAAGATGCAGCGGGGCTGCCGTAGCTTAGCGCTTGAGGAAGCGTACTTTAGGTCACCGACCTT